TGCCGCTGGCGGCGCCTCCTGCGGATCGGTGCGCCGGCTGGCTGGCGCGGATGGCTTTACCTCTTCGTTCATCTTGCCAAAGACATCAGGGGGTTAGGTACGGACGTTTAAGAAAGAAACAGAACTAAGCTTAACTTCGTTCCCCAGCACGGAAATGTGAGACTTCAGATTAAAACAATAGAATGACAAAAACAAACCGTGCATTTCGCTGAAACATCTATTTGAGTTAGTAATTCGACTTAGTGGGGGGAGGGGTGCAGCCTTGGATGATGAAGACGAAAAAAATAACAATAAGTGCTAGGTTTACATTTATCGAGTGCTTTCTATGAGCCAAAGCCCTGTCAGGCTCTCGCTTTTTTTGCTTTTTTGTTTTTTGGTTTTTTTTTTTCATTTAATGATTTAATACCCCCATTAGGGTTATCTGTCTCCATTTAGTTATCTTAATACTATCTTGATCCCATTTCATTTAATTATCTTAATATTCCTGACAAGTTAGTAACTCATGTAAGGGTTAAAAAAAATGTAGGGTCTGGAAGCAGATGTCTTGAGTTCGAATCCCGATTCTGTCACTTGTTAGCCGCAACCCAGGGCGAGTTAAACCGAAGCCCTGTGTCTCCATCTCCTCATCCATAAGTATTTCCGGGTGATAATACCACCTATCTCTTAATATTGTCGTGCAGAATAAATAAAACAATCTGTGTGACAGGCTTGCAGCCGTTCTTCATAAATCGTAAGCTATTATTATTTACGGTGGGGAAACTGAGGCACAAAGAACTTAATTTATCTGCTGTCGCATCTCAAGCAACTGGCCAGGATTTTCTAAAATGAGCGTCCTTAGCCAATAGGGCACGTTCTCTCCTGGTTCAACTGTTGCAGGCAGTGACACCCGACGGAGGAAATTGGACGTTCAGACAACTTTATTAGAGGAAGGAGAATTTAATGTCAGTGGAGAGCGTGGGGCTTTCAATAGACCCAAATTACGACCTTGCTTTGGTTAGATTTCTTACAGCTTATATACCCTTGCAGTGTCCATGCAAGGGGCATGTGATTCCTTTGTCTGAGGTTTCACATGTGCCTCATGACTTAGGATGGGAGGGGGAGCTTCAGGTGGGGGGTTGTAAGCGGGGAGGAATTTTCAGACCACTGGTCTTACAGGTTGTTTGTCTTGCAACCTTGGCGTTATCAGCACTGTTATAGGATTCTCGAACAGAGAGATGGGACATTGAGGCTATAAGGAGGAAGCAACACTTATTAATGCCAAGACCTGCTCAGCGGATTCCTATCCAAAGTCTGAGCCCCGATTGTAACATTAACAAGCAGTTTTATACAGTCTTGTTATTCCTGAACTGCTACAGAGATAAGGGAGGACATTAGTTGGTTGGCAAGCCATGAATTAAGAGATGTGAGCTGGAGCATCCTTGAGGTGGGGGAGGTAGCTATGGGAAAACATGTTAGCTGGGGAGTCCTGGGGGTGGAGGGGAGGAGGGCAGTTAGGAATGGGCTTTAACTAGCTGAGTTGGTCATTTCTGCAACCCTTTCCCTTACACCCTTTCAGATGCCTCTTCTCCTCTCTCATAATGAGAACTTTTGCCATTTAGCTTCAGAAGTCTTTCCCTGAGTGCCACACACGATGGCACAATGCAGGTCGTCTTAATAGCAATTATTATACCATTTCAGTATATTCAATGATCCCTTCTCTGTAAACTCCTTACACTGTGAACTGTGCAGATTATAATCAACTTCCATTGCCCTGTGTCAGTTGATCCTCGAAGACAGTATAACCCTCATTTATAAATGAAGACGGTAAGGACTGATAAGGTCATATGATCTACCTAAAGTCATGTCTAGCAACTGTTGGAAGCAGGCTCCCTGTGAGGCTCTGTGCGAGCCCGAACTTGGACCCTCTTGCAAAAATTCTGCTCCCTTATTTATGCTCATGGTGATGATGGTGGTGGTGGTCAAGTTAAACCACCTGGGTTAATAGTACTCTCCTTACAAAATCATTAATTAAAACAAAGAAGCCACTAGCTTTTTCCTGGTACATGGCAGGGAGGGATGTAGTTATCTCCCAAAATACTGGTTTATGTAACTGAGTTGCTCGCTACCCCATCCAAATATGAGGATGTAAGTATAGATTTAAAAAGCATTCGTCTACCTTAGTATCTCCAAAACCAGGCT